ATATTGTGAATATATCACATTTATAAAGTGGACTATAGTTTTGCGTTTTCCATAACTAACAGTAAAAGTGGTCCCTGATGTTGTCTTCACAGCTGTGTCTTATTAAAGACGTTCTAGCCTTAATCATTGTAGATGGATTTTACTCCAGACCTGTTGCTCGTCCCATCTTCAGCTCTATACTTCTTGATAAACATGACCACTGTTTAGTGCTTAAACTGTAATTGATGTGAAAAATACATTATGGTTCTTTTTAACTCGGTGTGTGTGCTGCTCCCTCGGTGTATCAGGAGGAACTTGCTCCCTACAGTTTATGTGGTACGGTACAAGCTCTCCAAACTGTGAGGATACTGAGGTTTAAATGAAGGATCATCACCTGAGAGAGGGTGAGAGAGCTCACTCCTCACAGTGAGGGACTCTCCGCCAGTTCCAGCCACAGCACAGACACTATTGAGTCACTCAGTTAATTATCGACTCGAGCCAGTTCAGTGAGAAGGGAGGGGCTGGACTTCAGCGCTGATGCACCACTTCACAGTCGGTCGCTGAGAGTCTACAAGTAAGTCTACCTGTAAACAGACGTTAGATTTGAAGTATGTTAGAGTCTGATCAGGACTTGAAGAGTTTGGGAGATCTGTCCGAAGCTCTTCTGGCAGTCCTCACAGAGGGATCAGTCTCCTACAAACCTTCTGCAGACGTGTTGTTACTTCTTTGGTTGTCCAGTTCCTCCAGGACCCTGGTCTGCATCTGCAGAATGTAGGCCTCAGAGCTCAGAGCACTGGAACACAGACAGTTCGCTTTGCTGAGTCCTTCCAGACTTCAGGAGAAGCTGGAACCAGCTGCAGGAGAGACTGGTCCTGTCTTCTCCTGTAGTCAGACATGTGGAAGATGAGATGATTCTGTCTGAGACTCCTCCTCTTGAGCTCATCTCTTTGATGTTTTCAAATGACTTTGGGATTTCTGACTGTTGCATGGATTCAGCAGTCCTTTTAAAAGTCTTGGTTGGAGTCCAGATCTGAGGCCATGAAGGATAGCACACAAACAGGTCCAGGGACCGTTTGAACCAATCATGGATTTATCAAGAGACTTTCTGAGAAACTCAACTTGCACTTTAACTTTGTATGGAGTCTTTTTCAGAGAAAATTCTCAAACGCACATGCATGTCACTTACAAAGCAAGTGCAGAAGGTAAACCGCTGCCATGAACTCCTGGACACATCAGGTGGACGATGCTGTAAGACAGATTGGTTGGAAGACAAAACACTTTCTTGTTGTGAAGATCTCTGTGACATGAGTTCCTGCGTTAGGACCGACGCCTTCGGTCAGGTTCCAGTCCCACCTGCTCGGTCTTTCTGGTAGAACCATTTTGCTTTACTTGCAGATGATGATTCAAGGCCAGTCTGCCAGCTTCTGGGGGATGTCTGCTTCTGTCGGACACCTATCTGTTGGATCTTGTTTCAGTTCTGATCCTGACCAGACCAAAAACTGCTTTTCTGTCTGAAAAGGGCCTCAGGTCCGGTTGGTATTTTCTCTTATCTGTTGGTCTGCACCAATTGGAAGCCTGAGCGTAACCATGTAGTGAGAGTCTGGGGGTCAGCGCTCCGCTTCGATCGGTTCTCAACATGTGGTCCAGGGCCGGGTTGGCGGTGATGTCTCCAGGCAGAAGATGGGGATCTGACACATGATGTGGAGGCTGGGGAGCTTCTGTTGTGGGACAGGACTTTTGTCTTACATGTCTTAATCTCGGTGAACATCTTCCTGAAGTTACATGACTCCTTCTGCGCTCAGTGATGAAGCCTCTGACCTCTGTGGACTCTGTGCAACTCTGTGCTGGGAATCTGAATGGTGAGGCTGGTCTGGAGGTGATCCTCTATAAGGGCAGTAGGAGCGAGGTGCCTCTGATGTGGTTCACTAGCAGAACATGACTGTCTAGCTCTGTGTGAACTCACGAGATGAGCTATCAGTCACAAAGGACCAGTGTCCCAGTCTGCTCTCGTCAGGCCGTCTAGATGAAGTGGAGTTTAGAGACGGACAGATGAGTGTGGGAGAGAGAGAGTCTGTGGACAACAAGAACATGAAGTGACACAAGTCATTAATGCTGAATGACAGAGCTGTTTCTGAGCATGATGATCATGTGACATCAGTTTGACACCAGGGAATGAAGGTGTTTTTATAACGTTTTATTAGTTACTGAGTCAAAAGCCATCTGCTCAGGGGATGGGAGAAGTTCTCAGTTGTGTTATAAACACCTATAATAATGTTTGAATGTAAAACAACTGTGAACTGGACTGAAGCAGAAGTTAAGCACCTGTTTTTCAGCGCTGGTTGGAACACTTGTATGAGCTGCATCAGGTCTGTAGCGCTGCCCTTTCACCAGGTTCATCTCTCTGCAAGGACAGCGGTTCCAACCAAGCTCCTAAGCTCCTGGTTCTCATGAGCCGCTGGAGCCAGTTTCAGACAGAAACTTCAGGACTGAGAAGGTTTCCCCCACTCCAGCCACGCAACAGGTCAGCAATGCTCTGATGGACTGTGCGCCCCCTGCTGATCCTCACGTGGGCAGTGCTTTAAAGAATTTCTGACAACTGATGGAGGTGTCCTGCACTTGCTTCTTGGAGAGATCCTCAGCCTCGGTCTGTCACTCATGATGGCAGTCTTCATGGAGGTTCACCTCAGCCTATGATCCTCATGACTGGGCAGTCTTCTTGGAGAGTTCCCTCAGCCTCACGGGCTCCTCATGCTGGGCTGGTGGTTTGTTCACTGAGGACCTCTGTGAAGTAAGCTCAGTGAAGATGTGTTCAGAGGATAGTACAGTCCTGCTCCTTCTGTTCCTCTCGGCCACACTCACCACATCTGATGATACAGACGGTGTTTAGACATCCTGCAGAAGCTTGCTGGAGCTCTTTCTTTGGTGAGTGGAATGCTGATCGTATACAGTTTAATCATGTGTTTTTTTATCGATTACTTCTATTCAGCATGTTTCATGTTAGAGCTTGTATTCCCCTGTTTCCAGAGTCTTCTTTTATCTGTGAAAGATGTAAGTGTCTCAGCAGAGTTTACTTTCTGCTTTAGTGGCACAGTGCATCCAGAAAGTACTCATCAACCTTATGCAGTTTCGGACTATTTGACAATGTATTTACATGGATTCTTTGTGTTTGATTCTTAACCAAACGGCAAGAATCACTAAAAAACATCTTAAATTTGTCATAGAGTATTCGGGGAGTAGATTGACAGGAAAATGAAAACCCGGGAGATTACTAACTTGTTAGAAATGAAAATTAGGGGTATGCCCGATTGATGAACACTTTGCGCGATTTTGTATCCGATATTAATGTTTCTATTATTGGCGATGATATAACAGTATTTGCTTGATAACGCTGTTTATTAAATAATACTAATAATAATTCTGAGATGATAAAAGTTTTGTTACATAACTGGAATTTATTTTCTATTTCAGAATGTATTTTATTTTAGTTTGACGATGGGCGTTTTGTGGGGAAAGGCACACAGGAGTTTTTGTGGCTCTTATTTTGAGTGAAAACACTATCATTAATGCAGGCGTAGGTAGTAGTTATAAAAGAGAGTATGGATAAAAATAGACAAGAATATTAGTCACCAATAAAAACTTGATAACATTAAAAACTAGATAAGGGTTAAACATAGTATTTAAAAGTGGTACATTTCATGCTATAATAATACTGTTGTGTTTCATAAAGATGATTTAGAGTTTCTGTAATCTGAGTATCTTCTAGCAAGCCTGAAAAAAAAAAAATTTTTTGGGATTGTTGAACATCGGTGATATCTATATTTATACCAAGATATCGTGCTTCTACTGTTGAAAATGATATAAAGGTGAAAGAGGTGGAATACTTTCAGGAGCAGGTGTCAGATCTGGTTTGTCCAGTATCGTTATATTCAGAGTTAAACAGGAGGAAAATGTTTCTATAATTGAGGAGATGTTAATGGTACAGACTCCAGTATTTTTACACTTGTTCCCAAATGAAAAACCATCTAATGAGACCTTATTTGAAGAATATTCTCCTTCTCTTATTTGTGGAATAGTTGTTAAAGGAATAGTTTTTAGAAGTCTACGGTGAGTAAGTTTAGTGCGCGGACGTAGCGCTCACGAATTCTCGCGGAGGTAACTCTCTCGCGTGCTACTGTGTGTACTTCTAGTCACGCTGTTCTATTGACGGAAGTGAGGTGAGAGAAGTCTCGGAGAGAAGTTAGTGCACCGCGGCTACGTAGACGCACCTCAGATTTACTACGCTCTCAAACTATCAGTACCCGTTTTATCGCTGAGAAAAATTGCGACTGTTACATTTCTGTGTTACTATACGTTGCAGTTTAACAGTCACGTAACTATATACATTAATCGGAATCACTTGGATGGTTTGGTAGCTTCTAGCGGGAGGCTACCTTTGGGGACTATACAGTGACCAGAGGAGGCGGCGTTGTGCTCCCGTTTTTGCTCCGTTTGCATGACAGAGCGCACGGACTAAGACCAGGACATGTAACGTATTAACTAGTCTAAGGTTAAGGTAGCAAACATATGTCAGTATGTAACAACGGTGAACTATTCCTTTTAAAGGGTAGAGTGATCCTATAAATGTCCTATGTGGGCTGGAGAGTCGCTCCGTGTGAATGCTCCATCGTCAAACCTACACATCAAACTAAGAGGACCAAATGGACTGTGGTAGGGTATGAGTTTGTGTATCTCACAGGTGATACTTATATCGGTGTTCTTTACTGCGTGGCGTCCGAGTGTTGACTGTAAAATCATAGTTACTCAACATGTTTTTAAAAGGGGGGGGGGATGGAGAAAAAAGACTATCTTTAAAGCCTTTTCTTGATTTGTTTATATCCTGTGTCTGGGGGTTATGCTGATAAACCTACGATGGAAACAATTTCTGCAGTAAAACAATTACAAAAAGTGACACTAAAAGTTCTTTGAACTGAGTGCATTGTGTGTTTTCGTACCTTGGTCCATAAACAGGGAAACAGACAAACCATGTGTCGCTTGTGGGCTTGGCCTGAGGTCTGTGGGCCCTGAGGGTCTTGGGCCTTGAGTGTCTTGGGCCCTGAGGTCTTGGGCCTGAGGGTTGTGGGCCTGAGGTATGGGCGCCTCTGAGGTCTGGGGCCCTGAGGTCTTGGTCCTGTGGGTCTTGGGCCCTGAGGTCGTGGGCTCTGGAGTTCTGGGCCCTGAGGGTCTTGGGCCTGAGGGTCTTGGGCCTCTGGTCTTGCGGTACTGAGGTCGTGGGGCCTGAGGTCTTGGGTCCTGAGGTCTTGGGGTCCTGAGGGTCTGGGGCTCTGAGGTCTTGGGCCTGCGGCTGGCGTCCAGCAGTGAGTTTTCTCTGGACAAAAATTGGCTATTAGAGCTGTATAATGTTTATTTAAAAGTATTATAATTAACAATGATGAGACTTTGTTGTGTAGTAAGGTGATGTTGTTTGTGGGTTGTGTGTTTGGGAACTCGTAGTTGTAGGCTGAGTAGTCAGTTGTTTCCTTCTGATCTGTGTCTACAGAGCTCCAGGATCATTGGTTCTGTATGTTTTCTGCGTTCGCGGGGGTCCCACAGCAAGAGGAACACCTCCTAAACACTGGATCATAAAGCATTGGTAAGAACCACTGTGATGAGACTGAAGAACAGGATGAGCACATGCAGCTCTCACTACAGGTCAATTGTTTCTGCAACTAATATTACACTTTATTTCGCAAAAGCCACATTACCTAAAAATACACACAGTTCCATTGTCATGGACCATGAACCTCTTTTCACATGTGAGTGTTCATTGTTTAATCCACTGTGTGATTGCTTATGACTAAGCCTCACTCTGTCCAGTCGTAAACTTTAAATATAAATGTAATTCTAAAGTCAGATCTGTGATTAAGGCGCGTTTCAGACCAAACGCTTCAAAATAGCTTTTGACGCGCTTCAGCTGACGCCAGATTGTTTTGTCATATTTGGTGCGTGAAGCTTTTGACTGCGAGTGACGCGCCTGACGCGGCTGGGAGGATGCTTCTCTGTTGTCTGTAGTCGGACAGCGTTGGACATTTTTCAATGAGCAGCGAGCCTTTTTATTTGTTTATAAAGCAAAATAACATTGTTGTAGGGCTTCAACATAACTGTTCCTTGGGTTCACCACAGACTTGTGATGGGCGCTAGGTTTTGCAGAGTTCAGTCCATTTTACTCCAAGGAGCTGCGTACGGAGGATGTTTCGCTCTTCTGCGGTACATTCCCGCCATGTCACCGCCCAGTCTGAGTTCTCAAACCCGTGAGCTCGCTCTCCCCGCCTGCTCTCGCTCTCTCCCCGCACCTCTCGTACGCATCTCCCTGCCTTCCCCGGCTCTCGTGCCTCTACCCGCCTCGCTCTCGCCTCTCCCTGCCTCCACCCTCGGCTCTCGCTCTTTTTCCCTGCCTCTCCCGGCTCTTGCTCTGAGCCAGACTAATTCGTCAGCTTGTCTTATATTAAATAAACTACAATTTACTACTTAAGCTCATGTTTTCTATTATTGTTGTTTACTCGAACGTTATACTCATACAAATAATTACTAATAAACAATAAAGACAACAAAACAGCGCAGCAACAGATAATGACTTCTCGTCATGACAGAAGACAGACTCGCTGCTGCTGCTGCGCCTCCGTCTCCTGGATTGGTTGAAGCCCCGCGTCTAAGCTTCAAAGGCTCAGCTTTGCTAGCTTCGGCGTCAAACGGGAGTGTTTTGATACGCGAGCGTTTCGCGTGTCTAAGCTTCAAGTGACGCGCGTCTAGTACTTTTGAAGCTTTGACCGGCGCCAAGTGAAGACGGGCTCTCGGCTTCACCTGACGCAGCTTCACCATTCCTTTCAAATGCAAACCTGACGTATTTTTTTTTTGGGGGAAAACCCGTGGGGCCCGTGAAAAAGTGTTAATAAAAAAAAAATGTCGGTGTGGAACGCACCCTTTAGTGTTTCCTTTGTCTCACTGTGGGTTTGGAAGAAGCAGCTTACAAGAATGAACTCTGGTGGATTCCACATAGGAACCGTCACTCTTCAGGGACACAGCACTGGACAGTGAGGGGATTTTTTCTGTGTGGAGAGAAAGACCTTGTTACTAGGGGTCATGGGTCAACCATCAACAGAACAGGTTTAAGAAATGTGTTTTTAATGCATTTCGATGGGACTAAATCTAGCAGACCAGAGAGGGACTGAGAGACGGATAAGCGGAGAGCGGAAAGAGAGGACAAGAGAGAGGACTCCCAGTGGAATCCTTCTCTCTCATATTAATAACCAGAGAATAATTCGTGTTATTTGGCGCTCTCTCTTCTTACAGTTTTTTTCTTTGAGAATTCTTAAATAAACAAGTTGGTGATGTTTCTCGCCTATGGTCATCCTTTGGTCTCTCTCGCTCTGGTACCTACTGTATGCTTATCTCTCTCTCTTGTCCTCTCTTGTGTCTCTCTGGCCTGTCTTTAGTCCTATCGTAAATGCATTTAAAACAACATTTCTTACCTGTTTGTTGGCATGAGTTGAATCCTGGACTCCAGAGTAACATGTGGATTTCTCTCCCCCCACCCCATAATCCAGATCCTACAGTGTCCAGTGCTGTGTCCCTGAAGAGTGACGGGGTCTATGTGGAATCACCATGAGTTCTATTGAAGATGCTTCTTCTAACCACAGGAGACAAGGAAACACTAAAGGGGCGTTCCACCGGATTAACTTCGGTCGTTCAGAGCGTCAGGTTTGCATTGAAGTGAATGGTGAACGCGCGTCAGTGGAAGCGTGAGCCCCGGCGTCACTTGGCGCGCGTCAAAGCTTCAAAAGTTAACTTACGCGCTCACTTGAAGCTTTTGACACGCGCGTAAACGCTCGCGTTATCAACACAATTCCCTTGGTCGCCATGAAGCTGAGCAAAGCTGAGCTTTGAAGCTTTGGACGGGGCTTAACCAATCAGGAGTACGCGAGGGAGCTGTCAGCCCGCTGCGGGTCTGTCTCTGTCATGATGAGAAGTCATGTTTCTGTTGCTGTCTGTTTTGTTGTCTTATTGTTATGAGTAAATGCTATTATTTGTATGAGTAGTAACGTTCTGAGTAAAAACAAAAATCTTACGAACACATGCTGTAGTAAATGTAGTTTATTTAATATAAGAACAGGCTGACGATGAGTCGGCTCAGAGCAAGAGCACGGGGAGAGGCAGGAGAACAGTGCGGAGAGCAGGGGAGAGGCAGGGAGGGGCGGTAGCGATGCGGGACGAGGCGATGCGAGAGCCGGGGAGAGGCGCAGGGAGAGGCCGAGGCGAGATGGCGGGGGAGAGGCGAGAGCGAGGCGGGAGTGGCGAGCTCCGGGGTTTGAGAACTCAGACTGGGCGGTGACATGCGGAGAGTACCGCTTGAATAGACGAAAAACTCTCCGTACGCAGCTTCCTGAGTAAATGACGGAAACTCTGCAAAAAACTGCAGCCCTTCTAAGTCTGTGGTGATACTTAGAACTGTTTTGTGAAGCCCCTACAACAATGTTATTTTGCTTTATGATAACAAATAAAGGGCTCGCTGCTCATTGAAAAATCAACGCGTCCTTGACTACAGACAACAGATGGAAGCTCCTCCAACGGCGTCAGAAGGCGCGTCACTGCGTCAAATGCTTCAGCACCAAAATGACAAAACTATCTTGGCGTCTGCTTGAAGCGCGTCAAAAGCTTTTTGAAGCGTGTTGGTCTGAACGCGCCTTTACACTGTCTGACTTTAGATTACATTTAAATTTAATGTTTACGACTGGACAGAGTGAGGCTTGTCATTGAAGCACCAGTGGATTAAACATTGAACACATCACATTGAAAAAGTGGGTTCATGGTTCCATGGACAATGAACTGTGTATTTTTATAATGTGCTTTTGTGGAAATAAAGTCGGGTATATTTGTTGCAACATTTGACCTTGTAGTGAGAGCTGCATGTTTCATGGTGCTTCAGTCTCATCACAGTTGTCTTTCCCCCCCCCACCCCCCCCCTAATATACACCACACCCCCCCACCACCCCACCCCCCCCCCCCCCCCTCCCCCCCCCCCCCACCCACCCCCCCCCCCCCACCTCCCCCCCCCCTCCCCCCCCCCCCCCCCCCCCCCCCCCCCCACCACCCCCCCCCCCCCACCCCCCCCCCCACCCCCCCCCCCCCTTTCTACCATGCTTTAGGATCTCGTGTGGAGGAGGTGTTCTCTGCTGTGGGACCCCCGCACCAGATAACATACAGAACCATTGATACCTGGAGCTCTGTAGACACAGATCAGCAGCGTACCATATGGACACAGCTACACTACGGAGGTCAAACACACACCAACATCACCTTTACTAGACACAAAGTCTCTTCAATGTTATTTATATACTTTTAATAAACCATTACAGCTCTAAATACAAACCCAATGTTTTGTCAGAGGAAGAAAACTTACTGCTGGACTCCAGACCCAGGGCCAAGGACTCAGGACCTCAAGGCTCAGGACCCAAGACCTCAGGACCATGACTCTCAGGGCCATGACCTCAGGACCCAAGACTCAGGGCCAAGACCTCAGGGCCCAAAGACCTCCTGGGCCCAGACCTCAGAGCCCAAGAACTCTAGGGACCAAGACCTCAGGACCCAAGGACCTCAGGGCCACAAGCCCTCAGGCCATAGACGCTAGGGCCCAAGACATCAGGGCCAAGATCCTCAGGGCCCAAGACAATCAGGGACCTAAGTGACCTCAGGGCCCAAGTCCTCAGGGACCCAAGCCCGCAGAGTCGCTCACAAGGTTGGTCTGTGTCCCTGTTTATGACAGAGGTAGAAAACACACAATGCACCTCCAGTCAAAGATAACTGTTGGTACTTTGTAATTGTTGTTCTGCAGTTAAATGTTTCCATCAGGATTATAATGTGACCGAACTCACAGCGTATAAACAAATGCATGTAAATGGCTTTAAAGATAGTCTTTTTTCACCATCTATACGTGTGACGATCGATATTTGTACAGTCAACTCGCTGAGACGCCACGGCTGTTTAAAGTGAGCCAACAAAATTGTTATAGTATCACCGGTGAGATCACAAAACTCGAGTAACGCACGTCCCTTTTTGTCTCTTTTGTTTGTGTGTGTTTGATGATGGTGAATTCACACGGCGCGACTTCGAAGCCTCATGGACCATTTATAGGCACATTCTAAGCCTTTAAAGGAATTAAGTTCACCCGTTTTTCTTTACGGACATATGGTTTACCTTTACCGTAGACTAGTTAATTAGTACCTGTTGGGCTTAGTCCGTCGCTACGTCATGCCAACGGAGCAAAAACGGGAGCACTTCGCAGCCTCCTACTGGTCACTGTATAGTAACCAAAGGTAGGCTCCCAATCCCCGCTAGAAGCTACCAAAATCTGCCAAGTGTTCCCCCCCCCCCCCCTCAGCACCCCCCCCCCTCCCCCCCCCTCCCCTCCCCCCCAAACCTCAATTAATGTATATAGTTAGTGTACGTGTTACACTGCAAAAGTTAGTAACTCAGAAATGAATCAGTCGATTTTCTCAGCGGATTAAAACGGGTACTATATGTGCGGCGTAGTAATCGGAGGTGCGTACGTCCGCGCACTAAACTTCTCCTCCGGAGACTTACTCTCTCGCTCTCTTTCGTCATAGAAGCAGCGTGACTTGTAGTACACACAGTAGCAGCGGAGAGGATGTCTCCGGAGAGAAGTTAGGGCTGCTTACGTCGCGCACTTAATTCTCTCGGAGACTTTCTAAAAACTATTCCTTTAACAAAACTATTCACAAATGATAGTGGAGGAGAATATCGTAAGGTCTCATTTTAGATGTTTTTCATTTGGAACAAGTGTAAAATTACTGAGTCTGTACCTTTAATTTCTTCATTTATAAGAAACTTTCCTCCTGTTTAATCTGTATATAACGAGAAGTGGATCTAAACCCAGTCTGACACCATGACTCCTGAAAAGTATTCCACCTCTTTCACTTTTATATCATTTTCAAACAGCAATGAAGCACGTATATTGGTTTAAAATATAGATTATCAGCCGATGTTTCATCAATCCATGTTCAGGCTTGCTAGAGGGATACTCGATTACAGACTCTATAATCATCTGTATGAAACAAACAGTTTAATATAGCATGAAATGTACCACTTTTATATACATGTTAAACCTTATCTAGTTTTTAATGTTTTAATTATTTTGGTGACTATTTGTTTTGTCTATTTTTTTCATTTACTCTTTTTATAAATTACTTCCATTACGCTGCATTAAAGATAGTTTTCACTCAAATAAGAGCCACAAAAAGCTCCTGTGTGCCTTTTCCCACATCGCCCATTTTTAACTTAAAAATAAAATACATTCTGAATAAAGTGAAATAAATTCAGTATGTACAAACTTTTATCATCTCAGAATTATTATGATTATTATGTTATAAAAAATTCTGTTATCAGCACATACTGGTTATCGGCCATTAATGTTGAGATACATTAATATAGGATATCAAAATCGGCCAAAGTGTTCATATCGGTGCATCACTAAAATTTTCATTTCTACAGGTGTAATATCTCAACGGTTTCATGTTTATGTCAATCTACTCGGAATACTCTATGACAATGTTTAAGATGTTTTTAGGATTCTTTGACCGTTTGGTTAAGAATCAAATCACAAAAGAATCCATGTACATAAGTGTTCACATAAAGATATATTTTATGCCAATACTGCAGGAAGTTGGATGAGTTACTGTCTGGTGCACTGTGCCACTAAAATGCTGAAAGTAAAGACTCTGATGAGTCTTACATCTTTCACAGATAAAAGGAGGACTCTGGAATGACAGGGGGGGCGGGAATAAGCTCTAAATGAAACAGTGCTGAAATAGAGTAATATATATAAGAAACACATGATTAAACTGTTAAGTCTGCATTCCTCTCTCAGATGAAGAGCTCAGATAGCTTCTGCAGGAATCATAAACAGCGTCTGTTCAGCAGAGGTGGAGTGTGGCCGAGGGAAAGAAGGAGCAGGAAATACTCCTCTGAACAGCTCTTCACTGAGCTGTATCATCACAGAGGGCTCAGTGGGAACACCCACAGCCCAGCATGAGAGCGGAGGCTTGACGGGAAAAATCTCAAGAAGATGTCCAGCATGAGGAGCAGAGGATGAGGAAACTCTCCATGAAGACTGCTCCAGCATGTGGGCAGTGCTGATGGGAACTCTCCTAGAAGACTGTTGCGGAAACTCATCATGTTTCAGGACATCTTTTTAAGCCATTGCCCCACTGAGGAGCAGCAGGGGCGACCACTGTCCATCTGACAGCTGCTGACCTGTGCGTGGCTGGAGTGGGGAAGACCTTCTCAGTCCTGAAGTTCTGTCTGAAAATGGGCTCAGGGGTCGAGAACCAGGAGCTGGAGCTGTGGTGGCCGCTGTCCTTCAGAGAGTGAACTGGTGAAAGGGCAGCGCTACAGTCTGAGGAGCTCATATCAATTGTTCCATCCAGCGCTGGAAAAAAACAGGTGTCTTATCTTCTGCTTCAGGTTCCAGTTCACAGTGTGTACTTTCCAAACAATTTATTATAGTGGTTAACACAACTGAGAACTTCTCCCAGCCATGAGCTGGATGGCGTTTGGTAATCAGTATCTAATAAAACGTTATAATTAACACCCTTCATTCCCTGTGCCTGCGTCAAAACTGATGTCACATGAGCATTCATGCGCAGAAACTGCTCTGAATTCTTTATTCATGTATGACTTGGTAACTGTCTGTTCTTGTGTCAACAGACTCTCTCTCACACTCTCTGTCCGTCTCTAACTCCTCTTCTCTTAGACCGGCCTGGAGAGGAGCAGGAATGGGTCTGGGACTTTGACAGGTGAGCTCATCTCTGAGGTCACACAGAGCTCAGACGTCAGTGCATGATAGTGAACCTCATCTGAGGCCTCGCTCATACTGCCTTATATGGATCACCTCCAGACCAGCAGCAGCCATCACAGATCCAAGCACAGAAGTGTGCACAGAGTCAAGAGGGTCAGAGGCTTCATCACTGTGCGTCAGAAGGAGGCAGTACTTCAGGAAGGGAGTTCAAGATGAAGAGGCAGTGTAAGACTAGTCTGTCCCACATCAGAAGCTCCGCAAGTCTCCACATCATGTGTCAGAGCCCATCTTCTGTCTGGGATCACGCACACCTCCTGGACCACATGTTGAGAACGATCGAAGCGGAGCCTGCCCCAGACTCCAGCGACATGTTCGCTGGCTGTCCTATTGGTGTCAGACACAACAGATAGAGAATTACCAACGAGACCTGAGGCCCGTTTCAGAGAAAGCAGTTTTTGGTCTGGTCAGGTTCAGAAGCTGAAACAAGATCCAACAGTGGTGTCCGACAGAAAGCAGACTCCTCCTGATCTGCTGGGCAGACTGCCTTTGAACATCTGATGCAAGGATTACTTATTGTGCATACGCCAGGATGGCCTGGGCAGGTGGACTGGACTCGACCGAGGGCCTCGGTCTACTCAGGACTCTGTACAGAGATCTTTCAAACAAGAAAGTGTTGTCTTCAACCCAATCTGTCTACGCTTAGTCCACCTGAGTGTCTCAGGGATTCTGTGGCAGCGGTTTACCTGCTGCACTGCTTTGGAAGTGGACATTGCAGTCGTTGAGAAGTTTCTCTGTGAAAAGACTCAGAAATAGTTAAGGGCAAGGGAGTTTCGCAGAAAGTCTCTTTATAAATCCCTGAGTGGTTCAAACGGTCGCCTGGACCTGTTTGTGGTGCTTCCTTCAGGCTCAGTTGGACTTCCATCCATAGACTTTAACATGTCTGCTGAATCTCAGTGAATCAGTCAGTAATACACAAAGTCATTGAAAACCTCAAAGAGATGAGCGCAGAGGAGGAGTCTTCTGACTGATAGCATCATCATCTTCCATGTCTGATGGAGATGGAAGGACAGTCTCTACTGCAGTGATCCGCTTTTCCTGAAAGTCTGGAAGGGACTCAGCTAGACGAACTGTCTGTGTTCCTGGTGCTTGCTTGGCCTACATGCCGAGATGTCGACCAATGGTCCTGGAGGAATGGACTAAAGAAGTACAACACGTCGGCAGTAAGGTAGTAGGAGACTGATCCCTGCTGTGAGGAACTGCAGGAAGGCTCGGTCAGTCCTCAACAAACTGCTTCTAGTCTGATCAGTCTCTAACGCTTATTTATC